CTAATTACTAGGTAGATGTGGTCAATAATCGTGCTAAAGTTTTGTTTGAGTTTTATGAATTTTATTTAAACTAATACGAAAGCCGTGAGGCTCGCTATAAGATTTCTTCATGAAACGGGCGCAAAACATGTAAGATTCCTTTGAAGAGAAAGGGATCAGTTATGGGAAATTTTACGTGCTGACTTACCACGTGTGCGGTGAAGTGGTGAAGAATAATTTCGTGGGGGAAACCTAGAAGTATGAGTAGTTAGAGTCGCGAAAATGTGAAAACCGTTAATATGCATAGAAGCATTGCATACCTACTCTTTACCCACAAAACACTATAGGTAATGGGGAGCCTTGTGCACAGTAGTGAGACGTATGTAAGCTGCATATAAGAAAGCTTTCATATATTCATACAAATTAAGATTTTTGTGACAGTCCTGGTTTCATAGCTCACATGAGTATATGTAACAAGCTCTTACGGAAAAATACTTTAATTATCAGAGATATCAAATTTTACTTAAATAAAGGTTTATATTATTTGTGAAAGTCGATAATCAAAGTGATCTGATAAGCATTATTATATGTATATTTTAACATATATTTTAATTGCAATTTGAAGTGTCGATTTACCGCGTTCTCGGTGGTGAATAAAGACCTGCATATCTGAGAAGTTCCTCATTTGAGATGATCCCACGTAGGGATCAGCACAGCGAATATTTTTGGCCTAAAACTCTTTTTGCGGCCTGTACCCAGTAGTGACATGTATGCAGGCTGCTACTTTTTAGTTTTAATGGGGCAGGCGCGTTGGCAACCGCAGCTTTTATTATTTTGAACTGTTGTCAAGAATATGATGTTGCTCATCTCCTGTTTGTTTTCCTCTGTCACCTCTTACGACACAAACGGGGGGATATGAGGTAGCAGATTCTCTTTTGCCGCCAAAACAAGGCGAACATTTTCCTACTCCCGGTCATGAGTCTTCTTCTCACATTTCTCTGTGAATAGAACTTCAAATGCAATAAAACTAATCTTAAGGATTTTATCGTTTTTAATTTTAACTTTTTAATTCTTGACATTTAGGGCACAGGTAGGTAGGTCATAGTTAACGAAGACTCACCATCACCTTTTAATTAATAATGTTTGGTCCGATTTACGCACAACTAGCATACAGAATCATGAAATCTTGTAGTAGTATGCTTATGTTTGGATTTAATTTTTTTTATATAGGAGTAGCTTTTTTATGGGAGAGGGGGCAAACGAGCATGCGGCTCACCTGATGGTAAGTGACTACCGCCGCCCATGAACAACCGCAACACCAGGGGAATTGCAGATGCGTTACCGGCCTTTTAGAAAGGTGTAAGCTCTTTTCTTGAAGGTTCCTAACTCGTATCGGTCCGAAAAATTCGCTGGTGGTAATTGATTCCACAAGGAAGTTGTGCGAGAGAGAAAACTTCTTCTAAATCGCACAGTGGTGGACCGCCAATCATCCAGATGGTGTGGATGGTATCGTAAGTTCTGCCGCGATGTGCGTTTGTGAAATTTGGCGACTGGCATTAATCCAAACAATTCCTCAGAGCACTCCCCGTGGTAAATGCGAAAGAAAATGCAAGGGGATGCAACATCTCTTCGCAGTGCCAATGAATCGAGCCGATCGGAAAGGACTCAGTCGTCGACGATTCGAGCCGCTCTGCGCTGGATGCGGTCAAGTGGAAGGAGCTGGCACTGGGAAGCCCCTGCCCAGAGATGGGAACAGTATTCCATGTGAGGCCGAACCTGCGCCTTGTAAAGTTGCAGGCGGTGTGCCGGCATGAAATACTCTCCCGCTCTGCTGAGCACGCCATGCTTTTTAGAGGCCAATTTGGCCTTTTCTTCCAAATTATTTCCCATAATCTTATAAATTATGGGATCCAAAGCTGATGGTAGCACCCAGCCATCTTATGTATTGAAATTAAGATGTTTTTTAATTTCAATAGCCTCGCGAATCGGCTTTGGTAGGAATTGGTGTTTTATTGCGAGGATTTGTTGTCTATCAGATCTGATACAATGGTTGGGACTGTACTGAACATGTCGGCATACTTGAAACTTCCCGGAGCGTCGGTGTTTCACATCAGCGATATGTTCTTTTACGTGGGTTTTTATGGAACTTTCATCAAAAGTTGTGTAAGAACCTGTGTAAAAAAAATTAAAATTAAACGTCATAAAATACGTAAAATTAATTTTATTACATGTGTAGTATTCATCATTACTGTAGACTGTACACTGTACATTTATGAAATTTTGAAGTCTACTCGAACGTAAAATACATATGGAATATGTAAAAATATAATATAATAAAATATACAAATAAAATATATCTGTTACAATGCCAATCAATATTAAATGGCACTAATGATATGAATCATATATCGCATAAACATTGTACAGTAAATTGATAGAAGACCTTGAAATTATCATCATTTTGTTAAGCCTTAATTAATTTCAATTATGAATGAATGTAACGAGTAAAATGTAAATAATACTAATAATAAATTTTGATTCCAAGAAGATTTTAATTTCTTATGGGTACATCGGAAGGCACGCCCGATATAAAAATAGTAGATGTTTCTATACATATGATATTAATGCAATTCTGGTAAACTTATTTTTTCACGTTTTAATGTTGCATATTATATCTATGCCAAATATCAATCATATACGTCCAATAGTCATTGACAATTCAAAAAAAATTATTTGACAAACAGACATAGAGACACAGACACCGAGGTGACTCTAAAAGTGATCGAATTTTGTTAAATTTGATATGAAACAGCATTCACTGTTGTTCCTAAATCGAAGCCCACGCGATTAAAAAAGACGCGGCAACAAAGCCGCGGGTAAAAAGCTAGTTTAAAATATAATTACTTATGCCTTCATTTTATGATATTCCTTAAACACGCTTTCGGTAAAAAAAAAGTAAATTTTCTTTTTTTTTATAAAATTGAAGTGTTAAACGAACTTACAGTCCAGTAAGTGACTTCTGCAGCTCATGGACAGCTGAAACTAACTTTAAGTAAAGAAGGCTATACCTCACAACCTGTAACTATCTCTCTCTCTCTCTCTATCTCTCTCTCTCTCAGAAATGGCGGCAGAAACAGCTAAAAGGGTGGTATCTATGCACACATCAACCAGAAAATAAGTTCTTCCTAGTGAAGGTAGTTAAAAATAGAGCAGAAAGAACAGAAAATTGGAATCATCATAAAAGCAAACTTCGCACATAACATACATAATTGTTTATACCATATGAGATGCCTTTGAAACTGATAAGAGTAAGCCAGACATGTAGTGTTTATTTCTCGCGTCTGTTATGCAAAAGGGGGACATCATTGTATGCTTAACGGTGCATTGTTCACCGGTTAATCGACGAGACAAATAAGTTTTTTTGGCAGCAAAACGTAGGAGGTATATTTTTGCAAACCTCGGAAATCCTTTTATTTGCGTACTGATTGAACCTTGTGTTACCGTGATAAGTATTATAATTATATGTTTACATACACTCAGTTAGTATTTTCAAAGGCTTTTCTTTGTTTTGTTTTATGGAAATGCGGTGTTCGGTTACAATTTACGCAGAAATTACGAGCCTTCATGGTATTATTATTTGATGTTCTCGTTAAGAAGGTTAAATATGGCAACGGTGCTACAAGAAATGTCCTTGACACAGTAAGAACTAAGAGAGTAAACTAATTAAATATCTTTATTAATTTATAAGAACTACAATATCTAAGCTACAATCAACAGCATATTAAAATAAAATAAGAAATAATTTGGAAAAATATTTTCAAAGCATTGTGTGAGAATAGAATAGAATAGAATGATTTTTATTCAATATGGATTATTACATAATACTTATTGAAAGTCATATTTTATTTACCACTGGTTCGGAAAATAACTTTGTCCTGGGCAAGCACTTAACAATAATTTTGTTTATACAAATTTTAAATGATTTGTCATAGAACCAGCATGGTGGCGATCACCTTAATCCCAGGGGTTATTTTCATTCATGTATTTCTTGATATTACACCCTTTTACCCTTTTACCCTTTTTGTACAGTTTTTCTTTAATAAAACTTTTAAGCTTGTTTATTGGCAAACTTTGTACATGTTCTGGAATTTTGTTGTAAACGCGTATACATTGCCCTATAAATGAATTACTGATTCTGTGGAGTCTAGTAACTGGCATTACAAGCTTATGTTTGTTCCTAGTGTTTAATGTATGAACATCCTTATTCTTATTAAAGCTATTTATATTAACAGTGGTAGAGCCACGTGGTAGCTTTTGCTGTCGCACGGATGGGCCGGCTCGAACCGGAGTGGTACCACGACCTCACAGAAAACCAGCATGAAGTAGAGGTTTACCTCTGCGTTTCGCTTGGTGAGAGCAGGTGGCCGGAGGCATTTTTACTGGAAATGAGGCATTCCATCTTAGTCCTCACGGGTGACAACGCATCTACATTTTGATTTGTAATAGAGGATAGATGTAGATGTCTATGGGCCGCAGCAACCACTTACCATCAGGTGGACTGTGTGCTCGATTTTCACCCTTATCCTATAAAAAAAAAATATTATGTTAATTATGTGAACATCGAAAATGGATATAGTATTTGATATAAAAGCAGAGGAATGAAACTTTTATCATTCAAAAGATATGACATAGAAGTGCACAAAAATATCAAGTGTGTATGTTGGTGTTTCGACTGTTAAATTAAAGTCAATATACATATGTAAATGATTTTTGCTATACAAAACGCTTTAACCATTAAAAAAATTATTTAAATACTTAGGCCTTGTTTTTTTTTCAAACAATAATTAGTCGAGTTTCGATCACAGGCTAAACTAGTGTAGATAAATTGCTCATGAACTAATACAAAGGCATGGCACAATGAGTTGTGTACTATATAAGTAAAAAAAATAAACAAATTAATTTTCACGACAATTTATTACTATAAAAACAAACTTATTTCATGCCAGTATTGAAACTCTGGCTTAGCAAGTATGCATGACCCGCAGCGCCAATGCCAAAAATGCAGATGTAATGCACTCATTCTTTTGAACCTACCCAAATTATGTATTGCTTGTGAGATAAGATTTGACGTACGCTTATATGCAGTGTAGCTCTGCCATTTTGTACAGTAATTGCTCGTACCGCAAGAGTCCTAAGAAGGCTTAATAGTACAACTCCTTGTCGACATCCTCTGCTGGTTCTAACCTCAATCGAGGCTTGAACTAACTATATTTTAGTCTTTCTGTTTGAAAGCATCGATTGCACGCACCCAATTGTCGTAGGGTCAAAAATTTCAGATATCAAGCCACCGATCAGCAGAGATGTGTAAAAAGACACATAGAGTTATTTCTATATCCTCTAGCGCTTTTTGGCTGAGAACAATCACAAAACAACAATTTGTGATATTAATTTTGATGAAAATGCATATTACATTTTGAAAACATCAACTTTAAATTGTAAATATGGTGGCTATAAGTCTGGGGTCAATTTTTTAATTTGTCCGTGGATTCGATATCGTCAAATTATAAGGTATATTTAACTTGTGTGTTTTCTCCACATTAATTATTCTTACGATATATATTTACAATATCGATTTTATTTTATAACAATTAATAATGTAATATAATGCTATAAGCTGTATACATGTAGAATGTTACAGGCATAAAGCATGCATAAAGGCCTGTTAATAAATCTGTGTGTTCCAAACACAAATATTAAAGGCCTTCTGAGCATTGCCAGTTTTAAAATTATTGACCTCTTTATTTTTAATTTGACGTCTCACACCAAAATTAAGTCGCGATGACTTTAGTGTTTTAACAAAGTATAAAATAAAAATCCAAACGAACAAGACAGACCGGCCGAAAATAACAAACTGTCGGCCATTTTTCAATTCGAAATTCGAACTGCCGCCACCAATCAGGATTCATTACGGCACGTCGTACCTCATCGACGAGTCCTGTAACGGGAATGTCGGTCAAAGAGTAATTGTGTCAAACCACCCGCGGTTCGATATACGATCCCGCGCTACTACTCGTAAATCCCGCGTTCCCGGTAACCTAACAGTACTCAAAAAGATCGACGCTCGCATATTATACCTTATTTTTTGTCGTTTTAGATGCATTTTTAAGTGATACATTTATTACGTTTATTACGTACAACTAACGTCAAAATGTTGATTAATTTGAGCAATTTATAAATTAGTTGTAATTATGGCAATAAACGAAAAAAATGAGCACTATATTTATTGTTATTTTTTTTTAAATCGTTTTTAAAATAACATGAAAGCTTTTTCGAATAATATATTTGTTAATGAATTGTTGTGTTTGGCCTATTACGTTATATTATTTAAATAAAAATAATATTTTTAAGATTTTTTTTAAATTTTCCGTTTTAATATAATGTCTTGTAGATTTAAAAAATAAAAAGAAATACCTTAGCGGCTAATATTTATAAAGTAGAAAATACACAGCGTAAATTTTCTTAAGACTGAGGTTGTTTCAGAGGCAATTTTTACTAAGAGCTTAATCACATGGTGCTTTCCGGCAGCTATGTGGTGCGATGCAGCACAGCAATGACTTTGCAGGGTGGCTCAAACATCTGATACGGCGCTAAGTGCTAAAACGTGCTATTTTCACCGATCATTATGCCATCGTCTTAGTGAACGTAATCACTAATCATTATGGCTGCCACAAGAGACGCCACAAGTCCCCATCTCCCGTCTAAGAGGCTTGGCAGATCAGCATTGTGCCGATTGCTGTTGCACAGGCGGTCGCTCGATGTCTGGGGAGACTGGTCTTTAAATGCCATCGAAGGCGCAGGGCCACGACCACCAAGGGCTCGGCATCAGCCCAGGAGTCCACAGGACCCCGGGCACTCAAACTGGGCCACCAATCCCAGTCCCGGTCATCTGATTGAACCTTGTCCAGTTCATGTGCGAACCGCGCAATACCACCACCGGTATAGCTTTGAACAGACTCTCCTTCAGCCCTAGAAGTCTCTTCAACTCCTTATAGGAGGAGTGACTCCAAACACCTCGCCAGGAGATCGTACAAGAGGTCGCGCGGACACAATCCTTGCTAGGTAGTCCTAGTATACCTGCGACCTTCTCGACTAGCTTCTCGTGAGTCCCGTATTTACTACGTTTCTCACGGTGAGCATCATCGAGAGGCCGCTGGCCCGAGACTACCTGCACGTCCACGATCACTCCGACGCCCCCTTTAGCGGCTACTATGTCGGGCTTCCGAAGGCCTTTCGAGGTCTTGACATGAGGTTCCGTCACCACCGACCATTGGTCTGAAGCCATCGCGTCTGCTACTAACTTCACTACACGGTCGTGGCGCATTATCCGGCCCCCGTGCGTCCGCCAACATTGCTGGATGGTGTGAGCCGTCGTCTCCCTAACCACGCACCCGGCGCGGCAGTGCAACTCCGCCTCACGACCAATCCTGCGCCCTCTGGATGTCCGAACCCGTGACGGGAGGGCATTAATGTGTGTGTGGACGAACTGCACGAAGTCCCGACCAGAGACATGTGAAGACTCCACCCGAATCCACTTCGTGGACGCGGGAGTGCGGGCGGATTCGCGTAACTCGAACCCGTCCACTGAGCTCCACAGCCTCTCGCGCCAAAACCGTGAGACGGACCTAAGGCCCGTGACCGGATCCTCTCTGGTGAACTTTCGGAATTGCTTATCGGCCCAGCTCAACTTCTTGCGGATCCTTTCGTATCTGGCGGCGGCCTTTGCCACTGACCAACTCGACGAGCCGAGCCGCCCGAACCTCTTTAGTATGAGGTCCGGGATGGTCGCTCGAAGCGATGGGATCGCTAGGCCGCCATCCTTGATGTTGGCATGAAAGTGCCCGATAGGCACGTCCTTCGGGAGCCTCAGCCAAGTCCTAACCGCACCCCGGATCTGGACGTCGAGCATGCACAACCTATCATCCGAGATATTACCCAGCACAAGGCCATGTAAAAATCTCGGAATAAGGTGTCCCCTCACAATTTCGAGCCGCTGCTGCGGCTTGAGGGGTGCCTTTGAGATGTTGGTCAAGGCAACTTTGATATCATGCTCTAACGTCACGCATCCAGACGCATGGAAGTCGATGCCAAGATAGCGCCAGCGTTCCACGCAAGAGGTTTGTGGCAGCCACTTCCGACCTATCCGAAAATTCCTTCCGGTCAGATAGTGGTGTTTCTTGCGCTTCCCGTCAGGCACCATCGACAAGACGGAGCTCTTGGTATGATTGACCGTAAGGCCCATCGACGACGCCACCTCGAACACACAGTCAATGGACTCCTGCATCCCTACCTTTGAGCCTGCGAGCAGGACTAGGTCATCGGCATAGGCCAGAGCCGAGACTCGCTCCATTTCCAGCCTATAGCCTACCTCTTTCGGTAGAGAAGCAAGAATTACGTCCATCGCCATGTTGAACAAGATGGGTGACAACGGGTCTCCCTGACGCACACCTCGGCCCAATTTAACAGGTGCACTCGACTGCCCGCCGACTTCCACCTTGGTGGTCGCCGCGTCGTACAGCTGGTGGATGTAATCACAGAATGCCCAGCGCACTATGAGATACTGTATCGAACGCCTTCGCGAAATCGAGGATCGCCACATGACACTCTCTTAACTTTTTCCTGCTATCCCCTAGCACCGCGTCCAGCACGGCGGAGTTCTCCAACGTGCCGTCGGCGCGGACGAATCCACGCTGTCGTGCATCGGGGGGGCAGCAATCCAGGAGTCTCCTCGCCAGGACCGAGTGCATGTGCCTAAGCGGTATCGAAGCGATTGAAATCGGTCGATAGTCGCCCGGCCCAGCAGGATCGTCCTTCTTCGGCACGAAGATCGTCCTGCATTGCTGCAGGGGCTCTGGTATAACGCCAGTGGTAAACCAAGAGTTGAAAATTTCCGCTTTCCGGGCCGCAGGAACTACACGCCACTCATCCGGACGGATACCGTCCGGACCAGGCGCTGTCTGCCAGTCGAACTTGGACGCCTTCACTTCGTCGATCGTGAAAGGCACCCACAGCCGAGAGTAATCGCGTGCGCCCCCATACTGCTCTTCCCGCCTTAAGGCGTTTAGAGCAGACGGTGTAGGCCCTGAGACATCAGACACCCTCTCTAGGACCGGTCGCCAATAGGCTTCCAAATCTTCGAGAGAGTGCCGGACGCTCCTGTGCACTCCATCGATCACCTCGGCTGCTGCTCGACTGCGACACTTCTGAAATAGCTCTTGTACCCTGGCGTACTCTAATCTCCTCCGCTTGCGGCTCGACAAACCAGCCAGTGCGGTGTCGGCCCGAGTCATGTTCGATATGCGGTGCCGCCTCGCACTACGGGAACCCAGGCCCTGTCGCGACCTCCTCACCGCGGCCCTCTCAAGAAGATCCGCGACAATTTGGTCTGCACATGTATTATCTGGGACACCACCTAAGTGCGGTGATGGGTCATCAGCGACAGGCGGTGCGTCTTCAGCTGGCATAGGCTGGACCGGCATCTCGATACTTTCGGATTTCGGCCGTGTCGAACCCCTGCTTTCAGGTGCTTGGCTGCTCATTGGTGGGGATCTGTACTCATCCCGGCACGCTTGTACCAGGAGTTTGTACTCCCCACAGCGCCTTTTTCCCTTAATAGCCTCTAGGGTCCGCTCGTACCCCGACAGGCAATTGAGCAGGTCTACGTTCGTGCAACGACCGAATTCCTCGAGTAATCGCGCCTCTGTACGCGCCATCAATGCCAGCTCCTCATCGCGCCACCTACGCTTCACCATATTAGGAGCGGCCTCCGCATTTGCTATTTCGGGGTGGGCCCTACGCTTGTGGACCCCCAACCCCGTTTTGGTGGTGAACGCACGTTCACACACCGGACAAGTCCAGTCAGCGACCGCGGAAACTGTGGCTGGAGCCCCAGTTTGGGCGGCCGAGGATTGGGCCAAGCTCCCCGGCTTCTGTGGGAGGCCAGAGTGGCAAAATAAATCATTTCCATTCTTTATTCTGTCCATTGCTTGTGAGTTTGCCCAATGTGGCTGGGGTGCAAGCCCAGCCACCTGGTTCGCCTACCGCATCTCGTAATTGTCCCGACCGAAGTCAGCGGTTCGACTTGGCGGCACGTTTGCCACCCGATGGGACTATTCGGGAATCTCACCCGAACCTAGCCCGGATTACGCCCCATGATCTAGGACGCTGCGCATACTAGACGAATCTAGCAAACCCGGTTCACAAGCCTGACTAAAGTCTCCCGTCCGACTGTCAACAACACGACTGAAAGCCGCGAAGAGACAACCGAACAGGAGACTATAGTGGAAACGCGCTGGGCCTCGCAGGATTAGGAATGTGCGAATGCAAGAAAAACAAGAATGCTAGAATCACCGCTGGTTGCGTTGCCACTGGCGGCTGCACATCAAATCAGCGCATGAAGTGAAACTAGCTACATGGCATCCCGCTATACAGTGTAATGTCATGTCAGGGGTTTTTATATGTAGGATGCCGCAACAGAACCGTTGAAGCGCTATGTCACCACCGCGAAGTTACCGCTAACGCGCCATACTTCAGCCCTCCGTGTGACTTCGCCTATATGCAAATTGCAGTTTATAACTGTACTTTCTACCAGCTTTTACTCGCAGCTTTTCTCGCGTTTAATTATAAGCCGACAATTTTTATTAAAAGAAATTATTATTTCAACTTAAAATTGCAAAACTCTCTATTACAATGCATTTATACAGACTGCATTAAACTAGTTGATTTTCAAAGAATTTCACTCAGCGAAACGATGGAGTGAAACGATTTTGTGCCCTACAAACACGTGAGCAAGCTATTTTGCTAGGTTTGACAATATTATTCCGGGTTGTAAACTATTCTATGTTATGGCCAAGTTTTATCAATATCCATTCAGTAGTTTCTGCGTGATTGAGAAATAAGTATACAAACATCCAAAAAAAAGTTCAGATTTACAATAATACTAGGATTATTGGCAACGATTGGAAGAGGTTATGAAGTATGCAATACCAAGCATCGATCATCGGTATGAACATTTTAGGCATAGGTTTTTTTTTTTCATTTTTTCTTTACGCTGTTTAAAATTTTCCTGATATTTTAATATAAAGAACGACAGAAGCCTAAATAATGTTTTTATGACATTTTGCTTAGTCTATTTTTACAAATTAAGCTACACAGGAAAAAATGGTGAGATATAATCCAATACATGATCGTCTGTATTAGGAAATCATTAATTTAAACTGTATGATTATACAAAGTATGTCATCATAATTACTACAACCTATCATGCCACGTTTAACAGGCGGGTTGACAACTGAATATTTTTATTATTTTGTATTGTTATTTGGAAGATGCTGCTACCCATGTATTTCAGTTTCCCCTTTCGCGTCTTACGACACCTACGGGATTGTATGGTGTGGTTTTTTTATAGGGTAGGGTCAAAAACGAGCACACAGCCCACCTCACATTACACATTTATCCTCAACAAAGAATCAAAATGCAGATGCCGTGAGGACAGTGGTTTTAACAGTGGTAGAGCCACGCGGCAGCTTTTGCTGTCGCACGTATGGGCCGGCTCGAACTGGGGTGGTACCACGACCTCACAGAAAACCAGCGTGAAGTAGCGGTTTACCTCTGCATTTCGCTTGGTGAGTGCAGGTGGCCGGAGGCCCTTTTTACTGGAAATGAGGCATTCCATCTTAGTCCTCACGGGTGACAACGCATCTACATTTTGATTTGTAATAGAGAATAGATGTAGATGTCTATGGACCGCAGCAACCACTTACCATCAGGTGGACTGTGTGCTCGTTTGTCACCCTTATCCTATAAAAAAAACTAAAATGGAATGCCTCTTTTCCAGTAAAATGGGTCTGTGGACTACAAGGTAAAGTATGTTCCAATTAAAAATGGTGTATTAAGTAGGATATTTCTTATTAACATTAAGATGTGGAACTGTATCTTAACTGTATGTCAATTTTAACAATTCAACCAGCCCACACTTAAAGTAGCTAATACCATCGGATGTACGACCTACAGTGCTCGGTCCATTAACCTCGTAACTTCCGTATTAGGTAATTGTAGCAATAGTTGCGTTAAAAAATAAAAGAAGCTAAGAGCAAGGTTGGATAAACTTGGTAAAGCAATGTAACGCCAATTACCAGCACAGCGGAAAGCATTAAGCCAACTCAGACCAACAAATAAAGGTAAACAGAACTTTATTTACGTTCTAAGTGACGCGCTAAACCGAAAATATATTTAGTTGTATTTATATGTGTGAGCCATATGGCTACAAACTTGCAAATGGATTTAGGTACATATGTGTGCTTATTGCTATTTGCTGCGTCATTTTACAGTGTCATTAGAAATATTATAATTCATTGAAAGAAAACATAGACAGAACACTATATCCTTTGCAAAATAAGACAAATGAGCACACAGTCCAGTCCATCTAATGGTAAGTTAATTCTGTGGTTCATAGACACCTACTGCATCTATTCTCGTTTAAGAATCAAAAAAAGATGTTTTGTTAACTCTGACACTAAAATAGAATGCTTCGTTACCAATAAAAAGGGTTCTCGGTTCTTTTTACTTACCAAACCAAATCAAACAGTTGTATTAAGCTTTTATTTCACGCTGGGATTCTGTGAGTACGTGGTCTTTCCCCGGTCAATCCGACCTTTTCGTACTGCAACTATAGTAGAGCTGCAGCGTGGCTCTACTATGTTACAGTTGTCTGAGTTATATATGAAATACGACAATGAAGAAAGAACGTCAACGAACTTTAAAAATGACTTCGTTGTTTATTGTTCTGTGTTCGCCAAATAGAACATACCATATCGATAAATTTTTACTTCTTAAGATTAAACGGGCTCCTTGGCGCAGTGGCTTAGCAATAAGTTGCTACGATGGGGGCCGCGGGTTCGAATCCCGCACGGAAGAAGTATTTGTATGGCCTACAAATAATTGTTCCGGGTCTGGATGTTTGTGCTTGTACAATTTGTGTTTGTTAACTGCCTCCACGATACAGGAGAAAATCCTAATGTGTAAATAACGTTTTTTAAAGAGAGAAAAAAAACTTTAAGAAAACATCATTCATGAATGACTTAAATTAAAACAGTTATACACCCATTACCGTACCGTACTCAGAAATAAGAGTCACTGTTCAAAAACACGCCTTATACGTGTTTATTATATCAGATTTAGAATTAAATCAAACTTAGAACCAAATGTAGCTGAGCTTTTTGTTTCGAGTCTAAGCGACGCGGCATCGAGGCGGGGTCATAGCGGCATCGAAACAGTAATGAAAAT